ATTTAGCCACATTATAATGGAAAAGGAAATGTCATAGGTGAAACAGTGTCTAAAACGAGCTGCCAAGCCAGAATCAGAAATGTCCTTTTGAGAAGGACCTGGGGTGAGATCTAAGGTGGCCTATTGAGAGGGCCTGGGTGCTGAGGAGGTGTCAGTGAGAGACCAGCGAGGCAAGTCATATTAATTCCTTAAAGGCTGGGAGTAGGCGGGAGGTATAAATTCAAGGTTTCTCACCTCTGCTTGGGATATCTCCTGAAAAATTGTACCAGAAGATGCCTTGACTGGGTTGAAAGATGGGATGGAGCANCCCCTGCCCCTCCCCCCAGACGGGCAGCTACTTACAGAGCGTCAGGGCTGGGGCTCACACCTGAGCCGGACCGCAGAGGGGCTGCACCTGGCCTGATGGGTAGGTTCCTGGACGGAGCCCTGGGGAGACCGGGGGCGGGGAGGCGGCCGCCGGTGGGAGGATCTCCGCAGCCCTCTGGGTTTGAAAAGAGTCAAGTATGCCTCCCCGGCCCGCAGGAGCTGCAGCGGCCCTGCCTGGCCTGAGTGCTGGAGATGTGACTTAGTGCTGTCCCACCTACTCCCTGCGCAGGAGCCTCAGGGCCCCACTCCTCACAGGGCTCCAGTGGCACCTGGCGCCCTCAGGGGACGGCAAGAGCGCCCAGCCTGGGCAGTGGTAACTGCAGCCTGGGGAGCAGGCAGCCGGGCCCAGGGTGGCCGGTGGGCCAGGAGTTGGGTGGGAAATGGCTTTGGCTGCGCTGCTGGCAGATGGGTGCATGGCACTTCCTTGTTGCTCTGTGTTCCTGGCTGGGGAACCACGCTGTCCTCAGGGCCCTGCCAGCTTTCGGCCTCTTGAGAGGGACAGCTTCCTCTCCCGCGAGTTCCTAGGAGCCACCTGGCAGGCAGCCAGAAAGAAGTGGCGGGCGGTGGGAGACAGCAGTACGACCTGGACAGGGGGTAGCAGGGGGGCAGCCTGACACCAGCCTGGGACACTGAGACAGCCCAAGGCCGCATGGGCTTGGGGGCGGTGGCCCTTAGACCTGTGACCTTTGGAACGGGAAGCTCCTGAGTTGCAGGGAGGCGGAGCGGGACAGCCGCTGAGGAGACTGAACTGGACGGGGAGGCAGTAGTCAGCCAAGTTACAAGTGGCTTTCCCAGGCCGGACAGACTCCAGGCCAAGTGGTAGCAGGGGGCGATGTGGTGTCCCTCAGGGACCCTGCCCAATCTCTCGGCCCCTCTGGGGGTGAGGAGCCATCAGCCCAAATGCAAGAACCCTGAGTTAACCCTACTTTCTCCTATTGTTTGCCGGGGGAGGAGGGTGCTTTCCCCAACTGCCCTGGGCAGACTATTCTAATGAGGCCCCTCCCCCACCAGCCACCGGCTCTGCCCTTCTTCCCCTTTCCTCTGGCCTCCTGCTGCTAGCCCACCCCCACCTTCCTTCCCCACCCCCGCGGCCCTCCTCCTGATGGAGGCCCCTTCCTTCGCTGCCAGTGCCGGGTGCCTGTTCTCCTGCACCGAGCGGGCCGGGATGCTGAGCAGCTATCAGTAGCAGCATCTGACAAGCGGGGGGAAGTTGTGGGGGAAGAAGAATTTTCAGGAACTCGCTGTGGAGGGGTTGAGAAGAGAGATGAAGGGGCCGTGGGAGAAGTAAGGAGGGTGGTGTCAGCCACGACTCCCTCCTGGACCTGGGGAGCCCGTGCCCACCGGCTGCTGCTTGCTGTGGAAGTGCCCTTTCCTGCCCTCTGCCACCTGCACACCTTGTACTGGCTGAGGGGCCTCATCACGCTGGGAGACAGGGTCTTTGGGTTATCCAGGGCAGCACCCTAATCTAGGCCAGTCATCCACGCCTGAAGTTTGAGGGGGCATGGTGGAAGGGAGCAGATGGCCAGGCCGGGGCTTATCTGTGAGTGTAACTGGCGCAGCTGAGGATCCCTCGAGAGAAGGTGGCTCCCCGAGAAGAGTCCCCTTCCCCCACTAGCCAGAGACCATGCCTTGGTGCACCTTCTTGTGGGGAAGGAGGTGATAGCTGATTGATAGCGGGAAGGGGAGTGCAAAGTCCCGAGCAGGTGAGAGGCGAGGCGGCAGAGGGAGGGATGAGCAATTACTCTGCGTTCTCAACCCCCCGCGCCCGTGAGCTCATTTTCCCAGCTGCTTGTGGGCTGGGGGCAAAGGATGCGTTATCTCATTTTAGAGTTTGTTGAGTCAGAGGAAGAACCGGGACTAACATCCTCAGTGTTTTAGGAATCACCACAAGAAACAGATTTGGTCTGTTGCTAGAGTCAAAGACTTCAAGATTGAATGAAATAAAATCAATCTGCAAGACAGTACATAGACTGTTGAGCTTAAACAAAGGTTCTCAACCTGGGACCTTGGGTTTGGGGGCTCATTGATAGGCTTTGGGAGAGTCCTTGGAATCTTTGATACGGATTCTTAAACAGGTCAGAAAAGGTTACCATAAATCCTTCGGTTCAAATGCCTTTTTAAGTCTGGAGCAACTCCAATGCAAAGGGACTGCTCCAAAATCAGCTACTAATTAGTTGCGAGGCTAAGACAGGAATGTAGATGCTCTGACTTCCAGTTTAGAGCTCTTCCTTACACTCCAAGTTGCTTTCTGATACTCTTTTTTAATTTTGAGGACGGGTTTGCATTCATAGCTGTAGGTTCTTGGGGAAAGCTGCATGTTGAAAATGGGGTTTTTCTCTGAATCCAGTATGGTGGAAATGGGTGCAGAGCCTTGAAGTGTGAGGGCTGGGTGTCCTAGATTCAGTAGCGGGGGTGCGATGAGCTTGACTGGTTCTCAGAGCTGAGTATCAAGGATTTCATTCTCCTTTGTAGGGCTCCTGGAGCAGGTTTTGAGAAGGAATGGGCGCGTGGATCGTAGCCTGAAAGACGAGTGTGATGCGGTGAAAGGCTGGAGGCTGTTCAATGGGAGAATAACTGGGGTTTGGATTATTAACTTGTTGGTGGGATGGCAGAGAGAGTGCCTGGTCTACAGTGTGTGCTCAGTAAATAACTGAAAGAGTAAATGTATTTACAGACCTGAAAGGTACACATAGAAGGGGCCGAATCTGGTAACTACTACATTGGATGTAATCCATCAGATCCAGAATGGCGTCTGAGCATGGGGACAGGCAGCCTCTTACCGAGTTCCCTATGGTGTTGAGCAGATGTGGGAGGAGATGTGCTCTTTAAGCCCAGAGCAGTAATTTCATCACCAGTAGATACCACAAAACTAGAATCTTGGTCTGGAAACCAGGAACAGATGGGATCGACTGCCCAGGGAAATTGTGGAGAAAAAGATGAGAGGATCTCATTCTTGAATGGGAAGTAAGACAGGAAAGGATGGAGCTGATATCTGTTGCCTAAACAATGGCACACAATTAATATTTGAATAGAACTAACCTCTCCATATCAGAGGGTGGGCAACTGATATGTCGACTAGGTTGAGGAAGATTAGATCCCAGGAGGCAGAGAAGGCTGGAATTGAGCCAAGTGATTTGAGTTCACCTCTCAACTTCAAATCCTCCCATTTTCCATGGCAGGCCAGTTGGGTTGATGAGGGAAGAACTCCTCTCTCCAGTCCTTCACCTCTCATCGCTGTTCCAGACCACAGATAGGTTGAGAAGAGTGCCCTGAGTCTCAGGTGGCCTTGCCAATTCCTGGAGAGGTCAAGGTGACTTCTTGTTCCTGTTTCCCTAGGCTGAGAAGAAAGCCAAGGTAATTGCAGTAATGAACGCTGTGGAAGAAAACCAGGGGTCTGGGGAGTCTCAGAAGGTGGAGGAGGCCAGCCCCCCTGCTGTTCAGCAGCCCACCGACCCTGCATCCCCTACTGTTGCCACCACACCGGAGCCTGTGGGGGCTGATGCTGGGGACAAGAACGCCACCAAAGCAGCTGATGATGAGCCAGAGTACGAGGTGAGCGGCTTGCTTCCTCCCCTGCCTTGTCCAGCTCTCTCCTGGGGCCTTCTGAGCCAGCTCACCCCACCTGCCCCCAAGCCTCCTCATCTTCCTGATTTTGCTCTGTCTTGCTCCATTCTGATGGAGCTCCTTCCTGGCTGTCCGGCTCCCCCCCCACACCCCACCGAAGCCCAGGGCTGGGGTTGCCACAGGGGGATTGGGGTGGCAGGGCCTCATGACCACTGGGTAATGATTTCTGCTTCTTGGGGTCCAGGACGGCCGGGGATTTGGCATTGGGGAGCTGGTGTGGGGGAAACTGCGGGGCTTCTCCTGGTGGCCAGGCCGCATTGTGTCTTGGTGGATGACGGGCCGGAGCCGAGCAGCTGAAGGCACCCGCTGGGTCATGTGGTTCGGAGACGGCAAGTTCTCAGTGGTGAGTTGTGGAATTTGGCAGTAGTAGCCTGGGGGAGGAAAGGGGCTTGGTCCCAGGGCCTGTGGTTTTGGCTGGGGGCAGCCTGGAGTTGGGGTGGTAGAAGTGAGCTTTGCTCACCCCAACTCTGCGTGTAGCGAGTGAAGCAGACTTAGAGGTACTGAGGTTGCCCCGTGGCCGGAGAGCTGGGTTTTAGTCTCCCAGGAATGCCTGTGCTAGCTAGAATGCCGTTCCACCTGCGTTCAGGTCCTTCCACAGTCTGGGTTGTGCAATTATTTATTGATGCACCCCCTGACCGCTGCGTGGCACTTGGTGGGTACGCGAGAGTGTGGGAGGACAAAAGACCTGGCTTGTCCCCCAGGTGTGCGTGGAGAAGCTGATGCCGCTCAGCTCGTTTTGCAGCGCATTCCACCAGGCCACCTACAACAAGCAGCCCATGTACCGCAAGGCCATCTACGAAGTCCTGCAGGTGAGTGTCCTTTGGAGGAACTCAGAAGGCAGGGACTGCTCCCCTGGAAGCTGGAGCATGGAGGCTAGCCCCGCGCAGATTCCAGCCTGACCCTTCGGCAGTGACTCCTCTTCTGCCTCCCTCACTTTCCCCTTTCTGCACTCTCCCTCCTCAGACATCCTCTCCCGCCTCTTGCCCGTGCCCACCCTCGCTACTGAGTCTGGCCTCGAGCCCGTCCTGACACCCTTCCCCGCCACGTGTTGCCCTCCAGGTGGCCAGCAGCCGCGCAGGAAAGCTCTTCCCAGTGTGCCATGACAGTGACGAAAGTGACACTGCCAAGGCCGTGGAGGTGCAGAACAAACAAATGATCGAATGGGCCCTTGGGGGCTTCCAGCCCTCTGGCCCCAAGGGTCTGGAGCCACCAGAAGGTAAATGTGGGTCCTCCTGCCAGGCAGATCCATGCCAGGGCTGGGAAGATCATGCTTAGGGAGAGCTGTTTCCATGGAGGGGCCCAGTGGGAGTGGCCATTGTCTCCTCACCCTGGGGTCAGGGCAAAGGCAGTGCTGTGCTGGTACTTCAGAATGATGGGCTCTCCATTGGCTTGCTGGAACCAGAGAGTGGGGAGGCAGGAACAAGTTGGGGACCAAGCTGCAACCCAGTGTAGGTAGAGCAGAGGAGGGGTGGGAGCTAGAGTTCCCTGTCAGCCTCTTTACTGTGATCTTGTTACCTGCTTTTCTTGATCCAGAGGAGAAGAATCCCTACAAAGAAGTTTACACAGACATGTGGGTTGAGCCCGAGGCAGCTGCCTATGCACCACCCCCACCAGCCAAAAAGCCCCGAAAGAGCACAACGGAGAAGCCTAAGGTCAAGGAGATTATTGATGAACGCACAAGAGGTAGTTGGCCTGGCTCTGGAGCATGGGGCCGGGAGGCTGGCCTTCCAAGGAGGGCTGTGGCCCTGGTGGCCTCCTCTGATGCTGGCTCTCCTCCCCTCTGCAGAGCGGCTGGTGTACGAGGTGCGGCAGAAGTGCCGCAACATCGAGGGTGAGTCAGCCTGGGGGCCTGGTGCTGCTAGGACAGGCAGGAGACCTAGCTCCTGGTGTGGTGAGGGTGCAGCATAGCATTGGTTCTTGGGAAGGTCTGAATAACGGGATCGGGGCCCTGTGACATTGACACTCAGTGATGGGGTCTGTCCTGTGTGTCCCACCACCTGCTTCGTGAACTGTCCATTTCATGGTGCCATGATTCTGCTTTCCCATCAGTGGCATGGGCTGATTGATCTTTAGGGTTTGGGACACCCCAGTGGGTCGGGGAAGGGTGGCCCCTCTTGGATTTGATTAAACGGGGCCGGCCCGGTGGTGCACTGCTACAGTGCGCCGCTTGGGAGCGCAGCAGCGCTCCCGCCGAGGGTTCGGATCCCACGTACAGACCAGCCGCTCACTGGCTGAGCGAGGTGCGGGCGCAACACCGAGGGTTGCGATCCCGTTGCTGGTCACGAAAAAAAAAAAAGGATTTGATTAAACTTGCCTGAAGATGCTCTTTTGGCCTTTGACCATTCCTCACCTTCTCTCATCCCTTGTCTGCCTCTTTGGCCTAATGCTGATGGTCTGGCTTGGTGCCTTCAGGGCCTGGGAGGACTGGGGTCAAGGGACCGGGGGCCAGGACATCCCCAGGAACACCTGCAGAGCCAGGCCCCTGTTCTCAGGAGTGGGTTTCTGCTCCCACATGGTGGCATTGTTTCTCTAAGCAATGAATGGGCTTTTGAGATGGCCAGCCGTGGTGCCTCCCTTTTCCATGGGGTGCCCTACTGGGCTCCCTTCTGACTTCTCTTTGGCTGCTTGTCCAGCACACCCCTTTCTTGCAGCTTTTCTGGTACGGGGCTTTGGCCCAGGGCGGGGGGCCCTTGGTGACGCTTGCTCCACTTGCTCTGCTTTCCAGACATTTGTATCTCTTGTGGCAGCCTTAACGTCACCCTGGAGCACCCTCTCTTCATCGGAGGGATGTGCCAAAACTGCAAGGTAGGGGCGCACCCCCTGGGAAGGTGCAGCTGAGGGTGGCCCTCGGCCCCCTGGCTGACTGTGCCTCCCGCCCCTGTGGGCTTGGAGGGGTTGGCACCTTAGAGGGTGTGATGTAGACTTCAAGGTTTACTCTGGAAGCAGAGAGTCCCAATAAAATGGGCCCTTGGGCTTCAAGCTTTTGGCCTGCTCTTATTTTTCTACTCTGAAAGATTATTTTCCTCCCTAATGCTCATTCTAGTCCCCACGTGTGGGCAGGGCTCTCAGTGTCACCAGCATGAAGGGGGTGGGTTGCTGTGCCATCGGGAGCCCAGGGTTGCAGGGAAGACATGGTGGGGGTGCAGCTCCCTCCCTGGCCTTGCTCTTGGCACCTCTTTGGTTCCTGATAAGGTGTCCCCTTCCCAGATCTGTGGTTTGGGTCTGACCCTGGCTGGTCAGGTAGCAGGGTCATGTCTCCAGGGCTGAGTCAAGATTCCAAGAGGCCGGGTTCGTAGCTTGCCTTTACCCTGGCTGCCCTGGGTCCCACTCTGGTGGTCTCTGACCCTCCGTGCTGCTCTCCAGAACTGCTTCCTGGAGTGTGCGTACCAGTACGACGACGACGGCTATCAGTCCTACTGCACCATCTGCTGTGGGGGGCGTGAGGTGCTCATGTGTGGGAACAACAACTGCTGCAGGTGAGGGTCCCCTCCCTCCTTGCCTGGGACCTGGCTTTCCCGCCTGCTCCCTGCTATGCTCTGGATTAAGTGCTTCCATTCCAGGTGGCACACCTTGGCCTCCCTGGGTGGGGGCTGAGAGTTCCCCCTGCTCACTGCGCTTCCTTCTAGGTGCTTTTGCGTGGAGTGTGTGGATCTCTTGGTGGGGCCAGGGGCTGCCCAGGCGGCCATTAAGGAAGACCCCTGGAACTGTTACATGTGCGGGCACAAGGGCACTTATGGGCTGCTGCGGCGGCGGGACGACTGGCCCTCTCGGCTCCAGATGTTCTTCGCCAATAACCATGACCAGGAATTTGTGAGTGCCGGGCCTAGGGCGTGGCCTCGCGCTACCGTTGCTCACGAGGCCTGGGCCGTGGGCAGAGTGCCTGAGCCGCGCGGGTCTAGAAAGCCTCGTGCTCCCATAGTTGGCTGGGAGGGCCAGCCCTGGGTGAGGATCTGTGGGACACTCCTGGGCATTTACCTGGCCTGTTATGCTTACTGCTTAGGATCCTCCGAAGGTTTACCCACCTGTACCAGCTGAGAAGAGGAAGCCCATTCGGGTGCTATCTCTCTTTGATGGAATTGCTACAGGTGAGTGGTGCAGGTCCTGAGAGGTGCTGGCCTCCTTTTCCGAGGATGGGGGAGCTCTGTGTGTGTGTGTGTGTGTGTGTGTGTGTGTGTGTGTGTGTGTGTGTGTGTGTGTGTGTGTGTGTGTGTGTGTGTGTGTGTGTGTGTGTAAGTAAATAAGTGTAAAACTCTGGCCAAACAAAATGATTGTTAACATTGCAGTTGTTAAGTGCAGTCTATGCACATGGGATTTGGCCAAAAATAAAAAGTAAAAGGAGTGGTAAAGCAGCCTGTCAAGTTGGCACTTCCCTCAGTGAAGGAGGTTCTGTAACAGGTAAGAGCAGTCACTAATCAGAGATTAATAGAAGATTTTCACAAGCCTCGAAAGACAGACTCGTGACCAAAAGAGAAACGTATACAATTGTGTTGTTTTAATTATAAATGAGATAATCTAAAGAAAGCTATTTAAATTGCCCGTAATTCTATGACTAACATTTTGATGTATTGCCTTTTGTTTTTTCCTATGCGTGTGTGTTTATGTAATCATACATATACAGATAAATTGAATAAGAGGGTGGTATGTTCATAGTTTTGTAACCTGCCTTGCCTTTTATCATGTTATCATTACTTTTTCTTTTCAAGCAGTATAGAGCTTATATTCTTTATTTGTAAATTCTGCGTAGGATTCCCTCAAGTGAAAAGTACCATAATTCATTTAACCCTATTAAGTTATTTACTATTTTTTCATTATTATAAGCAATGCTGTGGCAGGCATCCTTATACACACATCTTTATGTACTTAAACCATTATCTCCTTAGGAAAAACTCTTAGTAGGAAATGCTAGGTCTCTGTGTAGGCACTGGTTTTTCATGTGGCTCTTGACACTGCCAGAAAGCCCTCTCAAGAGGATGTACTGACATATATGCACTCCTCCATGGGCCCCAAGGCCGGGCTTCTCAGTCCTTAAGGAAGGAACAGCTCTCCGTACAACCTGTTTTCACCTGACCAGAGGGAGATCAGCAGTCTGAGCCGGGGGACCTCGGCCAAACGGTGAGGGTGGGGTGGCATCTGAGGCCAGATGTTTGTCTTCTGCTCTTAGCTCAATTGGATGTTCTGTAGACCTGGAGAAGTTCTTTTACAGCTTTAGTTTCTCAGGCTAGAACCTTGAGGCCTTCTTAAGTCATGTCACCCTAAGAGGCCATGCAAGCTCTGTGGTAGAGAGTTCTGTTGGGAGCAGTAAAAATGGTGCTGCTGTACCTGTTTCTCCTGACGTTTTGGGAGGTCTGTTCTGATTGCTGCCTTGCCTCGGCTGAGCACCGAGCATGTGTGGAGGGGTCATGGTAAGGAAGCCAGTGTAGTCAGTTAGCCCAGGAGGAAAGACGAGACCTCATACCATCTGCAGTCGAAGAGAGGGGCTGAAGTGAGAATGAGGTGCAGGTGCCAAGTGCTGGGGGCTTGCAGAGGAGGGGACGCAATTTTAGGGCACTATTGAGTGGGGTGGGGCATTGATGAATCCTTCTTTAGAGTAGGTGGCATTTAGGTCCAGCCTGGAAGGGTAGGGTAGAATTGCAGCAAGACATGACTGAGGAAGGACCAAGATGTAGATGTGGAAATACCCAAGAAAAAGCCACCAAAATAGTCAGCTGCTCTTCTCCCTGTATGCTGAAACCACTGATCTGGTCAGTCTTCCGCAGCTTTGACTGTCTTTCAAGTAGGCCAAACGAATATGAAACAGCCTCAGCATTGATCTACCAGTTTGATTGAAAAAGGATTAAGGCAGCTTCATGGGCAGGGTGGGGCTTGGCCTGCAGCTGGTGCCATGTGGCTGGCTGGGCCAAGGTCTCACCTGCTAAGATGGTGGTGCCGAAGAGATGGCCCTGAATGACAGTGATCTCTGCCACCTGGCGCAGGGCTCCTGGTGCTGAAGGACTTGGGCATTCAGGTGGACCGCTACATTGCCTCGGAGGTGTGCGAGGACTCCATCACGGTGGGCATGGTGCGGCACCAGGGGAAGATCATGTACGTCGGGGACGTCCGCAGCGTCACGCAGAAGCATGTATGTCGGCGCTGTGGGAGGTGGCCAGCCTTCTTCCCCCGCACACTCAGCTCCTGGAGGCAGCCCCCCCTTTCATTTTGTTAATTTGCTCTTTTCCTTTTCACCCTTTCCCCCAGCCTCTCTTCCTCCTTACCTTCCAATTTTCCTCTGTGTTGAAGGTAATGGTAGTAGGCAAATTAAAAATGGGAATTTGGGAGCTTGCCTTTTTAGACTCTGGCTATTCCCTGGGCACCCTTTTTAGTAGAGTGCTTTGGATTGGAGCATGGTTCCTGTCCTCCCAGTGCCTTTGGTGAATAGCTTTGCCAGCCTCCATTTCTGGGGGGCTCTATGGCACGGTCTTGCCCTTCCATTTATCTGGGTCTACAAGCTCTGGAATCCTGAAGGGCATTTGGGGGATATTCAGATGACCCAGACACCCTACCTAAAGTGCTCCAAGCATAAAGTACTGCCTGGACTGCTTTGCCCCACTGAGCAGCTGCTTTTCCTACTTGGCACACACTGGCTTCCCTGCTGGCCTCAGAGATGATCCAGTTGGGTCTGCTCACTTATCGTTTAGGAAGCTGAGCCCAGAGAGTCTCAGTGATTTGCAGGTGGCTGCACAGTGAGGGTAGAGCAGGTGGGTCCCCTCTCTCCTGTGCCAGAGGACTTTTTTTTGCGAAGTTCACAGATCATTTTCTCTCTTCCCTTGTGCCTCTGTCCCTGCACAGCAGGCCCATCACACTACCTTTATCCTCCCAGATCCAGGAGTGGGGCCCATTCGATCTGGTGATTGGGGGAAGTCCCTGCAACGATCTCTCCATCGTCAACCCTGCCCGCAAGGGACTCTACGGTAGGTGCTGTCCTCACCCCTGCCACCTTCTGAGCTGGTGCTTCCGCACTTGGATATTGCTGCCCTGGGACAGCTATTCCCAACAATCCTGTCTTCCCTTGCCCTCCCTGTGCCCGAGCCACACCACTGTCTTACGCAGACAGCCCCAGCTGATGGCTTTCTCTTCCGACCTCTCAGAGGGCACTGGCCGGCTCTTCTTTGAGTTCTACCGCCTCCTGCATGATGCGCGGCCCAAGGAGGGAGATGATCGCCCCTTCTTCTGGCTCTTTGAGAATGTGGTGGCCATGGGCGTTAGTGACAAGAGGGACATCTCACGATTTCTCGAGGTATAGCCAGCAACCTTGGTTTGGCCAGCTCACTAATGGCTTCTACCTGGGACTGCTGCTTTATCCCTGTCTCATCTGCATTGTGGAGCTGGGGACTGGTGACTTCTGCTTTGCAAGGGGCCTGTTTGGGAAGCTCCAGCCTTCCCAAATAGAAAGGGAGGAAACAGTGGTAGAGGCCCACCCTGGAAAGAGCCAGTGGTCTCACTCTAAGGTGGTATTGTGGGTGTGGACATCAGGGCTTGAAGGACCTGACTGTCACTAAGTAGAGTGGGGTGCCAGACTCCTGGGGTCAGGGATTCCATGTGGCCTTCACACTGCGGGGACCGTTCAGGTGCCAAGATCAATTTTCCCTGACCAGAATGGCTCGTCCTCACTCCCTGGCACCATGGTGGATACTTCATGGCACCTGAGAAGAAAACATGGCTTATCTCAGTTTGTATGCCCTATAATGTGAGTCCCCCTTCTCCCTGAGCCAGGTTTGAGCCATGCACAGAGGACTTCTGCCAGAGGTGTTCTGGGAGGTGGGGGGCATCTGGGAGCTTGAGCCCATGCTTCTGAGTGTTGGGGTCAGTGACACCTCAAGCTGGTGTTCTGACTTTAGATGTGAGCAGGCGTCTATTTAGCATATAATCTGGATGTGTGGTGAACACACCCACATGCATTAGAGCTTTCTTAAAGCCTCTGGGTAGTCTAGAGCTGCTTGTCCAATGAGGTTAGCCATCAGCCATGTGTGGCCGCTTTGATTAACATTGAGAATTCAGTTCCCCAGTCACACTGGCCTCATATGATATAAAAGACAGCTGCCTGTAGTGAGTGGGTGGCTACTGTATTGAACGGTGCAGACAGAGAATGTTCCCATCATTGCAGAAAGTTCAGCTGGACAGTGCTGGTCTAGAATGTTCCAGTGAGAGCATGTAAAATGTGGCTAGGTTTAATTCCAGCTTTTCCTGGAGGCTTCATACTGTCCCAGTGTGCGGCCTTCTGAGAGAGAAGGAAGAGCCTTTGAGGCTGTGAGGCTCTAAACCAGCAGAGTTACCAGCACTATTTAATATTCCTTCTTCGCTCATCTTTAAACTATCTCCTGTTTTATAGTCCAACCCTGTGATGATTGACGCCAAAGAAGTGTCAGCCGCACACAGGGCCCGCTACTTCTGGGGTAACCTTCCCGGTATGAACAGGTGGGTGACAGCTCCTAGGCCTGGGGTGGCTGGTGGCGGCTGGGGGCTGCAGGCAGGACAGTCCATGGGGAGAGTGGACCACTGAGTGGGCCCTCTAAGGCCAGCCTCCTCTGCTGATGCCGTGCTGCTCTGCCATGTTCTTTATTTCCTTTTTCTTGAGGAAGGATGGGAGTCGGGGTAAAGAAAATACTTGCCTGAGAAACCAATAACTAGTGGTCTAAAGTAGGACCTTTAAAAGTGCATTTGAGTTGTATGCCGCTGAGTTCTGTAGTTCTCCTACAGTGGTGATGTGTCCAGAGCCACTGGTCCTTCGATTCTCCTTTGAGAAAGCCGAGGAGGACGGGGAAGGGCGTGGGGCCACATCCTGCTCCAGGAGAGGGAATCTTTTTTTTTTTTTTTTTT